ACAGTGCTCTTAGGCTCCAAGTCAGCAAGGCAGGAAACTGCAGCTTCTAATTTCTCCCTCCGGACCATGTGAATGACATTCATGATCACCTTCACAGAACACTTGCTCTTCTTCCAAGTACTGGCAACTGTACCTCTGTCCATTACAAATTTATTGATTTTATTATGTACTTTACTAAATTGTTCTCTTCCCCCCCACCCCGATGATTATAACTTTGAAAATAAGTGAAAAGAAACCTCTTGACTAGGAAAAATATATACACACACACACTGATGTCTTCTCACAAGTCAGTGCTACAGCTTCTTAGAATTATGCTTTACTTACTATCCTTTCCCTGACATGGCAAATACAATAGTTCATACATGGTTCCACCAGGGCACAATCAACTGTCATCCGATTTCTGATAAGTCACCTTTACAGATGCGGTATTAGGTTGCACTAATCCATCTGAACATGGAAGAGATGGAATTTCCTGACTGTCTTTCAGCATTATTGCTCCTCAGCTTCTTTCTTCTATGCACAGGTCTGTGCAAAGGAATATTACCCCCTCGCTTTCTCAAATATACTAGCTTCTTCTACCCCTTCCCACTTTGGATTTTTTTTATTCATAGTTCTAGGCTTTATAGGTACTGTCTAGAGTTACTCCCTTGTCCTGTCTAGTATTCACTGCTTGGTTATAATCCACCTTTCCTTCCTCTTCCATTAAGAGGGTAGCTGACACTAGATCTTTCTCAGTTCAGCACGGAATATTTATGTATTCTGAAGTCTTAAGCAAATAAGCTTCTCAAACACAGCAATCAAAAATTCTTGATCTTATAGGCCTAGTACCCTTTTGTATCTGACTCTCAGTATAAGACATAAGGTGATCAAGGTAAAGATTAGCACAGACACTAATGCATGTATGTAAATGTAACATACTCTCCCCCTTTCTCCATTAATGCCATTTTCCAACCAAACCCTGGCCTGTAAACCTGCAATTTGCATTCCTTCTATAACATAATAGCTTTCAAACCAACTCAGCTCCTTGCTTAATCAACCGTTAAGCCAGCACTCCCCTCAACTATTTAGTCCTACTCATTTTTCAGAAGAACACCAGCTTACGCCTCACTCCCAATGCAATTAGCATATTGTGATGCTGCAAACAGAAATAACATACCTACTATTTCTCATGTACTAAGTATCTCTTGCAACTTCCAAAGGAGAAAGAAGTGCTCCCAAAAGTATGAGAGAGTGTTCTCTACGCTCATTATCTAGCCATTTTTTCCTCTGGACAGCAAGTCTGGCATCTTTAGCTTTCAGTATATTAATCCAGTCAAATCAAGTTTAGTTGTTTGTTCAGCTGAAACCAAGGGCTGCAGCATACAAAGGTGAATTCACGGAGGCAGATGCAGCTGATTCAAAGGAACTATAGACAAAAACAATAGGCAGTAACTATAACCTTGGCTCGTCAACACTTGCTAGTTAGTGAAGGACTTCTGACTTTCAATAAACCAAGTCAGAATGATGTTTAGTCTGGGTCTCAATAGAAAGAAGCACTAACAATTATAGTACAAACTGATGTTACTTGAACTGCCACCAGCAGTTATTGAAAATGTAGGGTTTTTTAATCTCCCCCAGGAGCTCAAGGTGAAATTGTGACAGGAACCGTGAAACTTCGCTTACTACCCATCTTCTTCCTCATGTACTCATCAACTCAGTCCTTGTATAAGGCCACATTAAGTCTCAAGCTTTCTTGAGAAGATACCACAAACAAATTCTTCATTCTATTTATGGCATCAGAACCCACGGCACTTGTTTTGTTCAGCACATGGAGAACAGAACAACTTCTGCACTGTTGCATCACCGTAAAAATAAGATGTCTCCAGGAGAGCTTAAAGAATCTGTTGGGTTTTTTCTTTTTTCTTTTAAAAAAAAATCTCACCAAGAGGTGAGATTTCCAAAGTGCACTACATGATTTTAGGTAGCTTGTCTTCAGTGGTTTAAGTGGTGCTTTGAATTCTGGGAACAGAATTTTGGGAAACAAACACATTTAAAAGCTCTGACAGGAAAGAGTCCTCAAACATCAGGCAAAGTTCCACTGCATTAGACATCTGAGGTTGGGAAAGGGTTAAAGAGCACAACAGATCAGGGTGATAAATTATCTGCAAGATTGAGATGGGAACTTTTAAATGACGCACAATTCCTAGCAAAATGAGTGAACTTCCAAACACACACACACACGAGGGGTCAAGAGGAAAGGGATGAGGGAGCATTACCCTTACAAAGGCTTACGTATGTGGTAACAAAACAGCCCTTAAGGTTCTTGCAGAACCAAACCGTGCTGAATATCGCAACTTCTCCACTTTAAGCGTAAGGAGTGTTTTAGCTGAAATAGAAGCTGATGCGTTTGACATCAGTGCCAGAACCAGAAGAGTTACAGTGTCCAGAGGTGTGGCTGGTGGCACACAGAGTAGGCTACTGAGAGGATAGGGGATTTCATCACCTTTTGAGCGCTGAGGTGATTTTGTCCCAGAGGCAAGGCAACGTCCCAGAGTACGATAGCAGGCCCTTGAGGCAGTACCTCTGGTGAGGATCCTGAGATACAGCGAGCAGAGCCAGCACAGGCACCAGCAGAAACTGCTTCGCATCTCCTGTACATTCATCTCTTCAGCAGACCTTTGTCTCCTTAGAACCTAGCACTCTTCTGTCCCAAGACAAGGAGGGAACTTTTATTTAAATAGACAAACTTGTACCCCTGTGTACAATGTGATAGCAACATAAAATACTATTACTAGATTTTTAGGATGCAATCCTGTGACTAAGAGAAAGGATGCACAAATTCATCCTAAACTTATTTTTTCCTACCATGACTCTCTAGTTCTACAGGTTCTCCTGCAAAAAAGACTTACAGATGGTACATCTCTCTAATGTGCTCCTCTCCCCAAAACAGTAAGCATCTGGCATGCCTACTGTTTAATTACACAACAGCCTCATGCAGGAGCAACATTTTCAAGCCTGGAAACTTATGCTCAAACTCCGATTTATACCCAGTATCGGAAGCTCTTCACAGTCAAGAAAAAAAAGTGTTGAAATGAAAGGAAAAAAGAAAATACTATCACACACACTAGACTCACAACAACTAAATATTCCATACATTTTCACATGTGGGAAGACAAGCGCATTGTAATGTGAAGAGGCTGACACACCGCAAGTTTTAACAGAAAAGGTGGTGTATGACTACTATGTTAACAAGAAAATACTATCACACACACTAGACTCACAACAACTAAATATTCCATACATTTTCACATGTGGGAAGACAAGCGCATTGTAATGTGAAGAGGCTGACACACCGCAAGTTTTAACAGAAAAGATGGTGTATGACTACTATGTTAACTTAACAGTTGAACACTGCTGATCAGACATGAAGACTGGAGCCACAAAACAATACTAGTTCCTTCTGGAAAATAACATGCTCTGGCTGTATCTTTCTTAGGCATAACCTTGTTCCATTCTACCATTTTCAGAAATATATGTTAAGTAATTCAACCATAACTTCCCTACTTGAACAAAATGCTTCCTAACGGAGAGGCACCCCAAATTCTTTAATAATGCACTCCCCCTGCTGGCCCAGCACAGCTGTCACACCTTCAAAGAGGCATCCTTCTGACTGCACTAAGCTCCAGCTAAGGGCATTTGCGTTACACAAAACGTCTTCACATTTGCAGCTTGTATAGCTAAGTTAACTTGAAAAAAAGCCTAAGTGAGTTCTACAGAGAAATGTTTACAGAGACGCTCGTTAATAACTGATTTCTCTGGTGAAAGTCTTTCGGGAGTGGACCATACACCATGGGCCATGATACATTCCAGGCCACTACCACCACTGCTTGCCAGGCTAGTGGTCATTTTCAAGTAGAAGAGAGGTTGGAGAACTACTGGTGTAACATTTCTAATTTTGGCACAAAGTCATTCCAAAAATGAGTTAGCAGCAGCAACTTGATATCAACTATCCCATTCAGTCGTGCAAGGGCTGCATTTTTCACCATTTTGCTTAAGCTTTAATTATGTGGGAAAATCTTACAGAAGGGGCCCTGTGCCTCCACACAGGAAAAAAATGACCACAGTTAGACTCCTTGACAGCACTGTGCTAGATTAAGTTATTCTACCTAATCAGAGCAGATGCAAGAAAGTCAAATCTTTCAAGCCCGCTTCAAAACACCTAACAGTTTGGCTTCAAGGCAAGTAAACCCTAAGCTACTGGAGATGCAAGCCTTTTACACACAGGAAGAGAAAGTTAAGGTTAGCAGCAAATAATCACAAGGAGCTTCTTCAGCATTCTTGTGTAACACACTAATTGACTTCCTACACCACATAAGCAGCTGCTATTCCCCCCTTACTAACATTATAACTTTAAAATACTAGGTAGAACATTTTTTAAATGGACCTCGTTTTAACAAAATAAGGAAACAGTGACATGCTTTAGACTCAAGTCACATTAACTACTATCCAATAAAAAAGTTCAGTTTAAACATCAAAAAAGAAAGTAATTTTACTTCAAAAGTTACTGCAGACTTCTATGAATGTGGGTTTCCTTCTTGCTTAGGTATTTCACAGAAAGTATTTAAGGGCTCCCTCACAGCAGCCCGCAAAAAAAATGAAAACAAAAGAATCCATAGACATATAGGCAGACGTTAGGGTGCATACCCCGAGAAACATGGATATGGGCGGAGAAAAATTAAAGATTTACAAGAAGGACTAAAATAAAGAGCATGAAGGAGCATCAAGTGTTTTGTGTACACATCTTGGTCTTGTAAATAGTTAATATCTTTACGACAAATCATCTTTCAAGTAACATGATCAGAGAAAAGACTGATAAAAGAATAACCTTTATATTACTTAAGATACAAATGAATTGTGTTCCAATAGGTGAAGCCAATTCATTCCAACAACTGAATTTGAAGTATTTATTGGTTTTGAATTAGCAAAACTTCAAGAACAAGTGGAGATAACAGGGCACTTACCTTACAAACAGACATGATGTTAATGTTAATCATTCTGTCAATCGTCTGCAAGAAAAAGTTTGAGTTTATTTGATCAACATTAATTTTTCCTGTTGTAAGTGCCAGGATAAGCTAAACCTTACGCTTATATATTCACCTTTACTCCCTTGCCTTCCTGCTTTAATATCAGAAGCAATGACAGACTTTCAAATAAAATCTGAGCTGTTCTTAGTTGAGTTTTATCTTCAGTAAAGTATTCTTATTAATCAAAAACAACACAGATCTATCACATTAACAATATCTGCTCTTATAGTATCTGCAATATTTCTGAGCTATGATAAATTGGTATTTTACACATGATGATAAAAGCCAAAAACTTAAGAATGAAACATTCCGCAACTGTGTTTCACTCTTCAATATTTTATAACATTTATATTAAAAGTTTACTTATCAACATTTTCCCCCCCCCCCCCCCGATAAGTATTATGAAGCTTATTTGGAGATGAACCAAAAGAACAGTTACATCTACTAATGCTTTAGTAGAAGCATAAAAACACAATGGACAAAGTTAGCTGCGGGGGGGTTTTGGAAAAAAAGAATCAGATACCAGTGAAAGTGTTTGAACCTAGAGTTTACAAAATACTCAGTAAAACCAAAACCATTCCTACATTAAGACATATTTTAAAATAGCTATTGTATACTTAAGATTGACAACAGTGTTCTAGAACATACAGCTTCCATTCATGTAGCTTACTTCTCTTCCAAAAATACCTCACAAGCTAAGAAGAGTACAAGAACATCCAGATGAGATTACAGACAAGACTGGAATTCAGATATCTCGGAGCACCTGTCCAAAATATACACTCCTCTGCACATCATTTTATATATTAAAGCATGACAAAAACCTAGGATGCCATCATGTGGATTTTGCTATGTTGCATAGATAAACCGCTTAGCTTTTTGAGCCCTTAATTTTAAAATTAGAAAACTGTGTTTAAGAGGGTATCTTCACCAAATCTTTGGTCACATGCATTAACTGTTTAGTGCTAGCAATGAGAACATCAAGGTAACACAAAACACTTACCTTATCCAGGTCTGGAACATCAATAAAATATTCTGGATAAACATATGAAACTCCCACATTGTTGACTGAAACAGAAGTAAGAAGTTTCATCAAGAACAGGTGCATGATATCCAACTTCTGATACTTGAAGATTCTCATTAATCGGCGTAACAGCCTTAAAGTTGCAGTCAAAACATTCTAGCTCAATGCAACAAGTTTCCTCATCTGTAAATACACTTGCATACGCAACTGGAAAGCGAGAATGAATATGCAAACCATTTTAAACATGTAAATATTAGTGACTGTTTAAATCCTGCATATTTAGTACATCATACCCATCTTTCACTGCTTTTCAAAGCACAGTAGAAGAACGTTTCCTTCTTTTAGAGATGTCAGTGTACACAGTTTAAATGTGCAAGTGTACTGCAGTCACAAATGGAGCTTGAAGCTCAAGAAAAGCCTCCAGTACCTGGCAACATATTATGTGAAACTGTTCAAGTGTCTTTTCCAAAAATAAGTAAATCAGAAAATATCCCACCAAGTTTCCTCAATACTTTCTTGGACATTTGTTTCCTTCCCCATGTATCCCAAGGCCCATAGGCTAACGGTCACTTAGGGACACCTGACATGACCCTCTTCAGTCATCAATTACTGTGAAAAGCAACATGCATGTTGCTTTTTGCTCAAGAGAGCCCTAGAAAGGAAATATGCCAAAATGGCCAAATCCTTGCCACCCTGGAGAGTGGAGCCAAGCTCCAGGCAGGACAGTAGATGGCAGCAATAGCCAACACACTGCTGCTGCTCAGGGAAAGCGCTTCCCCAAAAAGCTGGAGTAGCTTGGGCTGGCATGTGTAAGGCACGACTAGGAGCGTAGGAGAAATCACATTAATGACAATCTTTGTGCATTAAGCAGCCTGCGTTTGACAGAGATTATCTGCCTTTCAAAATGGTTTCTGTTTTACTTTCACTGTGTATTCAAAGACTCATTATATAGAGATTTACCACAGCAAACTGTTCTCCTAGGTCATCCCCCCACACACACACACTATTTAGATCTGTGAAATCTCTTCCCATTGGCAGTATTTAAAACAGAGTGTATTAATTGAAAAAATCAGGTTTAAGCAGTGCAACACTTCAGACCAGCAAGGTTTTGCTCTCGGATATGAAACAAACATTCATTCTCTAGTCTCAACACAAGTAGTGGAAAACTTCTAATGTCATTAGGAAACAATGCTCCTCTGTAGTCTCCGTTTCTTCGAACTTAATAAAACATACTGAAATGGAGACAGGGGAAAAAAAAAAAATCAAGCAAATGGGAAATCTGTTTCCTAAGTATGTGTTGTTCATTTTACACAAGTGAATCTTGTGACATTTGGTTGCTGTGGTAACATTTTACATTTATATAGTGTCTTATACCCCAGAGAATCCCCCAGAGCATCCTAAATTGTTATCTATATACACTGAACAACGCTGTTCACCTCTAGGGTAGGAGTGTACATGGAGGAGCAAGAAACAAGGCCAAGAACGCTGGTACATTTTGTTTTTTTAGAATAGCCTCTACCCCTCTGCCCAAAGCTATCATTTTAACATCCAACCCGAATATCTACTGATACTTAAATATCTTTCAAAACGTGCAAGAAACATATAGAAGAGACTCTGGCAGAAGTTCACAAGCTTCATTCAGTGACCATCTCAAATGACAGCTCTTTTAGTCAAGATCTCTTCGTCTATTTATGGAAACCCCTAGTCACGCGTTTTAAATTTTAACTTTTAAATAATCTTTAAAAATCTCAGGACCTGATGAGAACAGGGAGTTGGCAAACTCACAGCAGACACTGAGTACATTTGGAAAGAGATAAGAGTTAAAAGGAAAGAGTTCTAATGTTGCTATTACAAGAGTAAGCCAAATTTTTTTCTTCCTTATCATCCTAAATGAAACTGTTTTCTAGTCCATCTCTCTGGAAAGGGTTTTGGCTATGAACTGCAGCAGAGTCCTGGGTGATTCCCTCCCAAAGCAGTATATTTTGGGACTCATGCTACAGAAATTCTACACAACTCACACCTCTTTCTAGAAACTGGATGCTAGATATGTACCCTTCCAGATTCAGTAATCATTTTCTACCAGATCCCACTTTGTTGCCATTCTGAACTGAAAATAGAAATAGGTATATATAGCTTTCGGTCTGTACAGGTATATTTAACTTGAAAAGGTTTGGATGATGCCAGATTTAAGATAGCATTCAGGTTAAATTTCTTTACAGAATTAGTGATTTAAGAACAGTAAAAGAAAGATTTCCCACCTCTGCCTGTTTAACATATTGCTGTAGCTAGCACATGTTCGAAGTCACTGACAGACGCTGTTTTGAACACACAGCAAAACATTATGCAAACTCTTTTAGCCTTCATACGTGGGTGAGAAGAAGCTTCCAAATAAGAAGTTTGCAAGGATTTCAGTCTAAGTAATTTCTACAGTTGCACAGAATCTAACCAACCAGAAGTTCACTCTTGTGCAATACATGAAGACTCCTATGCCTAAACACAAGGTTAAATATAATAACTAGTATAGATCATAAGCAGCTACGCTACCTAAATTCTCATGTCTATCGTTCTAGGTGAGACCCGAAAGAATAAAATGCACAGTAACCCAAATACTTTTATAGTGTGGTAATGTTCTCCTTTCAACCCATATTTTCTCATGTAAAAGTGCAAAATATAGATTAGCAAAAGCTATATTCTGGGTTGCAATGAATGCTGCAGAATTTGAAATATAAGGCACTAAAGCATGAAATTAATTGCCATAAATTAAGATACTGTCTTTCTAGAGTAGCCATAATCTGTGTTGAGAAATGAAACCAATAAGCAGTTTCAGTAATACAGCTACAGCTGTCTCAGATACATTGATGATCTCAAGCACAGGATCTACTAAAATTGCCAATGAACACTGATTAATTTAAAAAAAATTATGTACACTGCATTGGCAATGGCTACTAGTAGTAGCAGAGGAACTCAGCTAGAGAATACACAACTCCAGAACATTTACTTACTATTTTTACCATGTTTTTAGACAAGGTACTCATGCAAATAAAAGGTACTCATGCAAATAAAAGACAGAACTAGGCTCTGTTTGAGGAATGTTCGTGTTTTCCCATAATAAAGTTAGAATTTAAGTTTCAAATCCAATCACCGCCCTAGTATCCACTAGGAGCGAGACTATAAAATTCAGAATTACGTGATTCTGTGCATCCACTACAGCCTTATCATAGTTTAATAAACAACAGCTTTCAGTTTGGATATGCACAGTAAAAAACTTGCTAGTATTTTGAGAAATTTAAGTAATGCACTATTCTGTTGTAACTACTATGACAGACAACTTTGATTCTTACCTTTGCTGAGTTGATTTTTGACAGGACAGATTAGAACAAACATTAATTTTATTCTTCAAAGTTCCTTTGGAACTTATTTCTTTCAGATATGAGAAAAACAAGGCATCTGCAGCTTTGTCATTAGTACTCTTTATTGAGAACACACAGTGGAGATGCATTTGCAGTTACTCTTGTTCTAGGTGGATTTGAACTTTTTTAGCAATTAAATACTGGACACTATGAATTGTATGTACCAAAGTCTGTCAAAAAGTATTAGGGAGCACTCTGGGTTTTATCCTCTAACCAAGTTATTTTTAAATTGAGTTTTCGTACGTTCTGTCTTCTTGGGCATTATTTGCAGGCAGTTTAGCAATATCCACATAATAGCAACACAGCTCATATGCTATCAAGGACTTATCACACTAATCATTTATAATACTCTTCCCCTCCCCCCCCCTTCTTTTTTTTATAAAAAAAAAAAACAGTTCCAGCTCTAATTAGTAAAATAAGTTGTCTGGAGCAAGGACCTCACCAAGTGACACACCTGTACACATCTGAGCCACATATCTTTATAAAATCTCAAGCTTTATGTTCATCATAACAGGTTCTCACCCTTGCATTAAGTTCCTATGCATATCCTTTTTTTCTACAGATACATGTGCTCCTAAGGAAAAAACCTGCAAACTAATAAGAAACTGCCTTTACTCTGCTGTTTAGGTAAGATTCAGATAAACTACTGTTGTGTCTAGTGTTGCTAACTTGCGCTAAGTCCTTAATATCACTTCAATCCTACACTTTACAAAGTAACCAGATAAGACCACCTTGCCTTTTCAAGGACTACCACAAAAAAGCCCTAACCTTCTGCAGTATCATAAACCCTACTCAGTTATTGTTTACTAGTAACAAAAGAATGGAGTTTACCAACATGAACAGAACACACCTGAACTGAAAACTTTTGAAGCAGGAGTCAGTGACTTGATGCTATATCCTAATGATTAAACTTCAACAGCTATATAATTAAAAGTTAACAGCTCTCCCATAGGGCTCTACTGCTAAGCTGAAACTAAGTATCTAGAGCTTGCTTCGATTTTACCATGATATTAGGTCAGGTAACTGCACAGGCAGTCACAAGCAAGGAGCCTTCAACAACCCCAGAACACATCAAAAATGTTCAACGGGCATCACAACTCCCAGAAACTAAGCACATGTGCAAGGATCATTTTGTGTAGCTTATCATGTGTGTCCAGCATGCAGCAACTTCGTTTTAATTAGGCAAACAATTAGCTTTTGTGAACTAGTTTCACTAAACTTCAACATAGGAAAAAGTTAGTTGGCATGTCAAGACCAAATCCCAGTATGAAAGATTGAAAGATCTGATACAAACCTAAAATGCCAATCTCCAGGCCTTCCAATCCCGCTTTGATTCTACTGTAAATATCTTCTCTCTCTCCAAAGTCTGCCACAATAACTTTTGTTTCCACTTTGTACTTCTCCTCTAGGAAAAAAAAGTTTTAAATAGTTGAATTACTATTCAAATGTTAAGGATATGTCTGTTAATATGGTTTTAAAAAAAACAGTATCAAGTAGATAACATTATGCAGTAACAATTTCTGCAACATTAATCCTTAAATTTTTTATATGAAGCCACACAAAAAGTTTGCAACATTAAGTTACTTCTGTTGAAAACATACAAAATTCTCAAATGATTCAGCATATTTTGCTCATAAAGGACCATGAAGATGGCAAGAAAAAGTTACACAGGTTTGTACAGAACATACGAAAGCAGAAACTAGAAGACATGTACACAACAGCATTCAAGTACAACTTGACAGGAACTTTTTTCCAACTTAAGAAAAAGGACAGATGAGTTGCTCCAGACCAAACAAAGCACTTCCTTATATTTTGAGTACTTAATATTTTGAGTGTAAAGAACAAAGGGAACATATGGGTGGGGTGAGCAGGAATAGCAGAACTGCAAGTTTAATAGTTCCAAACTGACTCAAATATGTTGGCATCGCTATCCTTAACAGAGTGGGAAAAATACATAGAGTCAATTAAATTTTGAAATGAAAAAGTCAAGCAAGTATTAAGAATGTCTTGTATGAAGAATAATTCTGTCTCCATCAAGCTAAATTAATTGCATTTAATTGAAATAAGTACACTGAAGTCTAAGACTTCAGAAGAACGAAACAGTAGCTTAACACTGAAGCATTTCAGAGTTTTGTTGTACCGAACTGTTACCTTAAGGAATTTGTATACATCTCAGGAATGATTTTACAGCATTTTAACCCCATAGCCATTCATAAAAGCAGTGTCAATTTAAAGGAAAAAAATCATTCACAAAAAGATTAGAAGCAGCCAGACTCCCATGATGCTCTTTTCCATTCAAGGAAAAGTAGCAGCTCCCGTGATTCTGTCATCCATTCACGGAGAATCATGAATCTCCTCAACTCCCTGGCTTGCTGGCTGCCTTGTCCTCCCCCCCGTCCCTTAATATCCCTAACAGCAGATGAAATTATTTCTCCTCCTTTCCCTCTCCCCATCCTCAACCTCCTCAGCTCTCATGAACAGCTGCATTGTTTAAAAATCCCCTGAGAGATGTTGCTATGTCAAATGACGACGTAAACAGCATTAAGCCCCTACTGCAGCAGCGGTCTTGTGATCGCGTCAGAAGAAAATCAAGTTCAACTTTTTTTTTTAATGGGGGGTGGTGAGGGGATAGAAAGATTCTATTTTTGAACATAGCTGTTCTAATATTTAACATACACATTTGAATTTTTACAGGACAGTGAATTTAAGGCAACGCTATTTCAAATATGTACAAGTGAACTGGGAGAGCAAAAACAAAGTAGAACATTTCTGTACATATGCCATTTTCAACTGTTTTACAGTATCTGCAGCTGCCTCCACTGACATTCAGATGCTTTATGAAATCTAAGTTTTTTAAAGGATTCCTCCCCTTCCCCAAATTGCTCAGTTTTTACTGTCCCCTTTAAACACAATACTCTTCATTAGGATTGTTGCCAATTTATCTAAGACTTCTTAAATCATTATAAAGATACAGAAAGAGGTAAGAAAAAATATCTTAAGATCTAATACTATATATAGATAATCTGAAGTCCTCACACCACTGCTGATATAAGACCCATCTTTGAGCCTTCAGAAAGTCAGCTAAGAACCATTACATTTAAATTAGTTAAATACTACACCTATAAAAAAACATGCAGCACCTCTGCGGACTGAGAGTAGGTAGTACAATAGATACAAAACAAAGAGTAAGAGATTGTCTACTGTATGGCCAGCAGACATTCTTTGTGCGATTGCTCACTTCAAACACTCAAAACTTTCTTGCTCAGCAGATATCACACACTGAACAAACTTACCTCCACATTTCACGCCAGCATTTAGATATTATATGACTGAGTAGCCCCTGCTCCATCCCAGAGCCTGCAGTAGGAGGGATGACCATGTCATCATGAGGGGAAAAGATGAGAAGATCTATCTGATAAGACAGCTCTATGTTAAATGGCGATACAAGCAAATAGCACTAAGCCCCTTCTGTTCGAGTTCCTACTAGCAGCCAGTGCATAAGGGGTGTTCTGCCCCATACGAACAATGGGGAAGGGAACTCCCTTGGTCCCAAGAACGACCACAATGTTTTGAAAGAGGCTAGAAAACACTACTTATTTTCTCTGCCAAAAAGGCTACGGGATGCAGCAGAATAGAGAAGCAGGCAGGCTTTTTCCTAAACCAGGATATCTAGCAGTGACTAGACTTTGCCCCGTCCGAAAACCTGAAACTTATTAGGAGCTTTCAGTTTGAGCACCTTAAGGTGCTCTGGAGCCACAGGCAGTGCAAGACGACGGACAATAAATCAACTCTTGCAGTTAAAAACCAGAAGATCTGAAATAGCTGACATTCTTATCTGCCAGTGCGCCCACTGCTCTTGATGATATACTCTGGACAAGCAAATCTGACGATTTGTAATTGGAACTGGTACTTCAAATGCTTCTTAGCAGGGGGCTGAATATCACACCACCATATTATCAATAGTTCTGCAGCAGTCATCACCTACCCATTAGGTCTCAAAGTTCGGAAAAAGTTTTATCAGGCCTCCTTCACATTTCTAAACCCTGATACACCAACGTATTGGTCGTTATCTCCTTGCTCCATTTCTGAAAGACTCAGGTGAAGTCAGTAGTGGCCCTTCAAGTAACTTTAACCTGAATTTCCACTTGGCTAAGCTAATCTACAGCATCTGTGCTGACCTTAGCTAAGATTCCTAGTAATTTAGCAAGAGAATAACTTCACAGAACAGGAGCTTGGTGGTCTAATAAGAGCTGAACCGATCTTCTGCAATATCCTTCACAAGTTATCTAAACACTCTTTCATTTGGGAAATAAGCTGTCATCCACAAACAAAACCCTTACAAAACATCTTCACAGCTGTGAGAAGGCTGAATAGTCACTGAACTAACAGTAATAGGCTGAACTAATAGTCAGAATAGTGATGGAACAGAGTCTGAGAGAAGATAATATTGAGGAGAAACCCTATGAGAAGGGCAGCATTCAGGATCAGGAGATATAAATGCATCTTATTATATCAGGATTCCTGGGAATCCTTTCTGTATGCCTATCATTTACTGTCTTCATCTATAACACTTAGACAAGTCCCTGAAAGAAGGGGGGGATCTGAATCCAACCTCCTGTTTCACTGGAAGTAGGACAGGCTGTTCCAGAATTAGGCAATCCCACTGTGTTCTTGGAAACAGCTACACCTGCATTTCAAACAACGCATCAACCAGACAGACAAAGGGCTCTAACAAGATCACTGCAGAGGTGAGCACAGCAAACTGATTCCACAGAGCAGGCTAGCAACAAGGAGAGGTCCCAGCTCTCACCACTGAGATATTAAATAAACACCAGATTAGCCTTGTGGGGCAGATCTGTTTAGCAGATATCAAAATGGACCTTTAAATAGTCAAACTAGCACGCCAGCCAAAACATCACTTGCATTCCTAACAAACCTTATACTAACAGCGCATCTCAGACTTTGCTGACTGAGTCCAATTAAGGGTCCTAAACTAGGAGCCCAAGGAACCAGTAGAGAAGAATGGATGTTGGAGACAATGACACTAAAATAAGTAAGGTTTGAAACAAACAGTCTAAAGTTAAGACGATCTCCTAGATCATTACAAGTCTTTTCTGTTTGGTACCAAAGCCCAGAACTAATCTGCAAGTTTCCTGTCTAGGAGTATCACTCTGATGAAACTGGCAGTAGAGTACACTCTAGGCAAAGGACTTATGAAAAGTACTACTTGGACATGTGCACCTTCCTCAGGCAAAATAACTATCTCATTCTTATCAGAGGATGATACAGATGTTGTACAAGACAAAAAGGTAAAAACAAACTTCTGTAGAAGACACTGGGATAGATTCTTTAAAAGACACAGACGGTAACGAAGAACACAGTGCACCAGAGGCATCACCCAGGCCAGGACCCAGAGAAAACAGCTGTAACAAAAACAAACAATAAGGTAGAATACATCAGAAGAGGAGATATAACAAAACTGGAAAAAGCACACTTCTCGCACAAGAACAAAGAGTGTTGAAGAGTAGATTTCAGCCCCAGAGGTGATTCCCAGTTTACCTTACGACAGAAAGAGTACCTCTGGATGCAATCTGAAGTTATTTCACAGGTAGCAAGATCAGAGGTCAAAGATACTGCAGTGGTAGAGCGGGGAGCACTACTCAAGGAAGAAAGACCAATGGCACTGGCAACCATGAGCCACAGCAAGCAGGCAGAAATGAAGCTTGCAAGACTGAGGCAGCAGAGAACTGAAGACAGAAAGGGAGAGAAGGGATAACTCTGTGGCAGAAACTACACCAGCAGCATCCTGAGCAACAGGTGAACAGAAAAAAATTTACCTGACTTTTCATCTATAAAATGGCTAGTTGCAACTTTATGAGGTGAAAGAAAAGCCACATCTGTGCTTAACTAAATCCAAAGGCCAGACAGAGGTCTGACTTTCAGAAAAGTTATCCAGTGTCTCGCTATGCAAGAGAAACACCAATCTAAGTGATTAAGAAACCTAGGGCAGCCTTTGCTACTGAAAAACACTCAGGTACAAAATGGCGAGCTGCATCCTAAATGAAGACTACAGGAGAATGGGAAAGTGGCTAAAAGCTAAACGTCTTCAATTATTTTTTTATTTTTTTTTAAAATAAAGAGACTTGCAAATAATTCAAAGTACCAACCCCCCGATCTGAAATATTGGTTGACAGGCTAAATGTTAAGGAAATTAAGTTTTCACACAACAGACTTTCCCCTCATCCCACTCCCCACACCTGAAGTGGTCATCCAGTATTGGTAGATGCAAATGCCAAAAGACATTTGGCTGATGGGGAAGAGAAGCAGCTTAGTTTACCTGACAGAAACATGCAACAATATCAGTCTTAATGGGGATCTGTCCAAAAAAAAATTGCTGGGAAACAG